CTATTATATCATGGAATTATGAAATCTAATTTTACGCGTACATCATCTAATCCTTACCATTGACCAACTTGTGACAAGTGATGAAATGGAATCCCAATCACATTATATGTCTGTATATTACTATTCGCTTTAATAAAGTATTCACTTATTATTATTGTTTTCACAACAAAACTCACCAATTGTTTGCACAAGACCATCTTCAAGAACCGATCAAAATTATTATAATAATAAAGAAAATGTTTAACTTTACAATTAAGATCGAAAATATACAGTAGGCTGCACAAATTATGTAGGCCTATACTGATATTAAATAAGGAAGTGGATATATATATATATATATACGTCCTCGTGATCAAATCAGTAAACGATATATTTACGTAAATGAAACGACGCATGCGCAGTCATACTTGAACAACTAGCATTTTAAGCACTCCATATTAGCGTGGTCTCCCAAGCCGCGGTGATTCCCCCAAGTTCAGCATGGCACTAATTAATTTATAATTTTGTTTTTGATTTTTTTTATTAAACGTAATTTAATTTTCTACAATAGCACAGTATGTAGTTTAATCACTAAATAAATTATAAATTAAATTTAAATTTTCAAATAAAAGTGATACTGTATTACAGTATGTAAATATATCGTTTACTGATTTGTTTACGACGAAGTAAATATATCCACTTCCATCAAATAAAGTGTAGTATTTTATGCTTGAGAAACGGAATTCAATATTTTGACAATGACATTATGTTCTGTTCTGGTGTATATGTGGACTCATATATGGACAGCCTAGGCCCCCTAGGCTGCCGCTTGGGGTGGGAAGGGCTTGCCAGCCAGGTCCCCTATACTAAACTTCCAACACAAAGTCTAGGCTAGGCCTAGCCATACACAATGACATTAGCTAGGTAGAAAGGGCCTAGCCTATACACCGGCGAAAAATATAATAAGACAAAAAACGTAGGCCCAGGGAATGCAATGGATTTGGCCGCGAATTAGGCCTAGCACAGTACAGTAGTATAGGCCTTTAGGCCTAGTTAGGGAATTCAACAACTTAGGCCTAGGCTACACAAGTATAAATTACTTACTTTGTACTTCACTGTGACTTGTCAAATTTGCTTAGGCCTATAAAATCTTCCTTCCTTTACACTCGCTACAAGACGACGGCACTAGAATGGGCGCTTCGTTTGTGAATTCAAAACTTGAAACGGGACACCGGAACTGCCAAAGACAGATAGTTCATTGGCTTAAGTCCGATGCTCCGATTATCGCTAGCTTCATTCAAACTGGTATTTCTACTGAGCATGCGCACACACTTATTAAATAAAAAGTACCGCAATGGAGCATTCATGTCATAACTGTTGCTACGTATAACGTCTTAAAAATAAAGTATAATTAACAGTGGGTCAGAGGGGAATCCAGGGCATAATTATCTGCCCAGGTATATAGCATGTGGGGTTCATGTAGAATGAACATAAGAATGGCCATGCATTTTCCCAGATATTTGGCACATGGGCCCCATGTGGTGTAACATATTCCTACAGCTATCTGCCCAGTAACTTGGCATATGGGGCTATATATGCAGAGTAAACACAGGCACAAATATTATTTCCTATATATTTGACACATTAGGCCCTATGGGAATTTGGCATATAGGAATTTGGCATATTGGACCCATGTAGATTGCACATGGACATGTTTATATTAATTTTATGGGTCACATGTAGATGTGGCCATTCCCAAAGTTATCTTCCCTGTTATTTGGCATATGTAAATGTGTAAATTAAACACTAGCTTAAGCCCATGTATTTCCCCAGCTACCGATGGGCCCCATGTGGAGTAAATGCGGGTATTATTTCCATAATTATCCGCCCAGTTATTCGGCATATTGGGCCCGTGTAGATTAAACAAGAGCATGTCCATATTTATTTTCACATGGGCTCCGTGTAGATTAATGTGGGAATTCCCATAATTATCTGCCCAGTTATTTGGCATGTGGTGCCCATGGAGACTGAACATAGGAATGCCAATATGTATTTTCCCAGATATTTGACACATTGAACCCATGTGGATTAAATGTGCATAATTATATGCCCAGCTATTTGGCATATGTGTCCCATGCAAATCAAATATGGGCATGCCCATATGTAACTGCCCACATATTTGGCACATGGGCTCCATTTGGATTAAATATGGGCCTCCAATATTTACTTGCCCAGGTAATTGACATATGGGTCCCATGTTTATTATATGTGGGCATGCCCATAAGTATATTCCCATATATTTGGCACATGGGCCCAATGCGAAATTAATATGGGCATACCCATGTTCAACTACCCAGGTCTTTAGCATGTGGGCCCCATGTAGATAAATATGGGCATGCCAATATGTATTTTCCCAGATATTTGGCACATGGAACCCATGTGGATTAAATTTGGGCATTCCCATAATTATATGCCCAGTTATTTGGCATATGGGTCACATGCAAATTAAATATGGGCATGCCCATATGTAACTGCCCACATATTTGACACATGGGCTCCATTTTGATTAAATATGGGCTTCCCATATTTACTTGCCCATGTATTTGGCATATGGGTCCCATGTATATTATATGTGGGCATACCCATAAGTATTTTCCCAGATATTTAGCACATGGGCCCAATACGAAATTAATATGGGCATACCCATATTCAACTACCCAGGTCTTCGGCATGTGGGCCCCATGTAGATAAATATGGGCATGCCCATATGTATTTTCCCAGATATTTGGCACATGGGCCCCATGCGGATTAAATG